TGATTGCCAAGGAGTCATCGACTAATCCTCTTTCTTTTAGTGCAACTGTCAAAATTCACATCGTGTATTTCACCAAATCACTCTTCTCTACCGTTGAATCTTCTGGGGGACTACCCATTAGCACTCAAACGTCGTTTAATATCAGTCGTTTCGGCATCCTTGCACCCTATTACTATTAGCAAAGCGTTTGGTAAATTCCTTGTGCCAAAAATGAGACCATTTGCCTGAGTAAAACTGAATCTTCCAGTTGAGCAATAATTCCCTCTTCTTTCCAACGACGCAGAATGCCTTACAAATGAAATATCTAGTACTTTTTTGTTGGTATTCAATTACCACTCCTTGTCTGTGATAGAATTTCATCCAGTAAATTACAACAGCCCGATGAAAAATGATGAGACCATTTGAGACCATTTGCCTAAGTAAAACTGTATCTAACCAGAAATTATTTCTGACCCCTGTTTCTCAACTTCAACTTCTTAATCCTGATCATTGTTGAAACGGGCAAGACCGTCAGTACCAGAAGACCGAGGTATGTACGTACAGGTTGACGATCGAAGTATAGTGTTTAAGAAAGGCATTGTAGCATTAGGCAACTGTTGATAGAGCGGAACTATAGTCTGATCACTGCGACCAATTTGTTGCCTGTTATTCCCGCAGCCATTAATTCTTTCTTTCCCATGTCACTGCTACGGATAAACCAGAGCCAATTAGTGAAATACATCTCATGAAAATCTCGTAAGCTCACTTGCGGTGCCATGACTATTACTGCTTCTGCATCAGAATACTTCCACTACTAAACAGCAATTTGAAAATGTTAATCTACAAGGTTTATTATAATAACTTTTCAACCACTCCTTGCTGGGAAAAAAATTTTAACAACTTATTTTTCCAGAAAACTCCACCACTAGAACTTTTTCCTAATGATAAGGAAAACTAAACCTCCATGACATTGCGGCACTTTATCAAATGTGCTTTTCGGTTACAAAATTGAAACAGAAGGTTTACATTGTGAGTTGGCTACTTTTACGGAAGCAAAGTTCTGCGGAGCAGGTTTTTAAATGAAGTTGGCGTAAACACGAAGAAAGAAGATACAGTGATGACCAACCCTGGTGACTAAGGCCAAAAGCATAATTGAAATTTTAGAAGCTTGGATATCTAAAATTATTGGCTGACAAAACCCATTATTCTTTATCTTTAAATATTTTTCCTGATAAATGTCCTTTTTTGAGTACAATGTTTAGTTTTTTGTCGGCTGCGGCTTGAAAAAGACCTAAACTATTTCAGAAAAAGAACCAAGTCATTCTGAGAATTTCTGGCTCTGACCTCTTGCCAGATACAAGTTACTGGGCTAGAGCACGAGCTGACGACCCAGACCAGAATGCTTCTTGGAGCAAACCGGTTAAGTTTCAAACAGGACCAACGACTCAAAAGAAACTTTGAACTGTAGAGAATATGTTTACAAGACTTGAACCATTATCATACTTTTTTTATTGTCACCGTTGCTTTCTCTATAGCTATGCTGCTATTCTTATTGTGCCTTGCATTGCTTTTATTACTACCACCATTGTTATTATTATTATTATTGTCATTATTACTATTAATATTATAAACATTACCATTACTATTACTATTACTACTCTTGTTATTATTATTAATTATTTTTAGTTTTAATATCCCCATTGTCACTATTATTTTCACTGTTATTATTATTATTATTATTGTTATTATTATTATTATT